TGTAGTATATACAGTATTAAGAAATCGTGTCTGTTCAATTACAACTTGCCTCTTTCATTCAGAAACAAAATGGTATACGATGAGCCACTGGTTTTACATAGGGTACGCTATTGCACTTAACAAAAACGAAAATATTATCAATGCAGGATACTGAGTACTTTCTGAAAATCGCGAAAATTAATTCCCAGCGACATTATTGTCATTCAATTTATATTGGTTCTAAAAAATAGATATTCGAACCATTGCATAATATATTTATGCCTATACAGCTTTGAAAATATATACGGCTATTGCGCCTGCTGATCAGCGGAGTTAATAGGGAGCTAAGATGGACGTGGGTGACAGCCCTGGGTCAGACATTGCTACTCTCGCGCCAAAATTAAAATGGCGGCAGAGGACGGTGACCAGGAAGCTTCTGTTTCTTCACTCGATTCTTTCGCTATTTCGTCAAGCACAGAGACACCTGCGCAGTGATTATGTCTTGCGGCAAAGTTTAAACACCCAGTCTTAAAGTGACAATGTTGAGTGACCTTGTTGCGTTGAAACAGCCGTGCATGACATCAAAGCAGGAGGTCGTATGATTTTTTTTATAAATCCTAATAATTCTAAATAACGAATCAGCTGTTCTATTTGAGTTTGTTACATTAATGGTCGCAGTGTTGTTACGTTAGTGGTTAAGTTTTTTATTACGTTAAAGGTTAAAAAATTTCTACATTGGTGGTTAATTTTTGTTACATTAGCGGTTGATATTTATTACATTAATGGTTTGTATTACATTAGTGGTTGATATTTATTACATTAGTAGTTATTGTTACAGTAGTAGTTGATTATTACATTAGTGGGTGATACAGCTGAAGCTCAAATCATTGCCTAATTTCAAACCGAGAGGAGCTAGGTTCGAGTCCGTTTATTATGGGATAATCAACACGAGATCCACAAAGTCAGAAAGAGCACATTAAGGTTAGAAACATTTTCTAGTTTGGTGTTTATTGGGCCTATATTGAACGAGATACAGCCATTCAAACACTCTAAAATTTACTAAGAAATATATAGACGTCCGGACTGTCTGGCAATCCAAACATGTCTTAATAAATCTTCAAGTTTAATATAGCTGCATCTTGTTTTTTGGTTTTTGTTTTGTTTTCGCTCTTTTTTTTAATTTCAGTAACTTATTACACCACTCACCAAAAAAAAAAAGAAAGAAAGAAAGAAAAACAATGGTGCTCAGTCACTGCACAGAATGTTTCTGACCTCAATCTGCTCTTTCTGACTATGTGGGTCTCTCCTTAATAAACAGACTCGTCCCCCAATCAGACCCTCTCGGTTTGAAATTAGGCCATGACCACGTTTTTTCCTGTTGTTTGCAGATAGTTTTATGATTCCTGCGTCCTGGTGCTTGATGTTTGGATCTCCAGTCCATCCACAAGGAAACCTGTTTTAACAAATTAGCACGTCACGATACATCCCATCAAGCGTCTGCCGCTCATTTGAGCTACAGAAACAAGTTGAACTAAACTGGACATTGTTACAGATGATGTATGGAAGGAAAGCCACCTTTTAAATCTTTAAGAATTTTGTGGATTCTCGTTTGTTAATGGAGTAGCTCTTGATTGGATTTGAGCAGTCTCTGATTGAACTGTTTTTCAATAAGGCCAACCCAAGAGGTAAACAAGGGACATACCTCGAGTAATTAAGAAATAACTTTAATGTGCCTGTGAATAAACTTCTTAAGCCTTTTTGTTGGCCCAGAGTAGTTATAAAAACAGCCTTTGGCAAGGATCAAGTATTATTTTTTATCCCGTAGTTTTACCCTGATGGCTGTGATGGTTCATCTTTACTTGGCCAAAGATTTCAAGCTAACACTGCAATTTATCCCTGTAATTTTGATTGAAAATATAACGAAGCTCCTCGTCATGCGACAAAATCTGTTTTGCCCGTTTCTGCATTCCGAGAGGATACAATTAACCAAGCCTATTCGCTGTCACTAATAATTCAACAAATACAAAACGTTTACCAAATTAATGACAGAGAAATCGTTGGAGCAGAAGTCCGTGACTAGAAGGTCATTCTGAATTCAGCGGTAAAATTGACTTGGAATTTCGATAACGAATTGCTATGTGCCAAAACCAGCAACCAAAATTAGAATCATTTGGGACAAGTATTTCCATCGCCTGCTAATTCCAAATACCAATCCGATCGACAATCGTGTCATCCCGCTTTAGTTTTGTAAACGCTATAAATTCCTCCTTACCATACTCTGACGTCGAGTTATATGTTTCAATAATTTTTTTTAGCAGTTTTGGCTCAAACTTCTGTTACATGTATTTCAATGTGCAATATATCAGCGTCTTCTTTTACTGCTGTACGTTGCTTCCAACTTAAGAAAAGGGGTAATTGGGATTTCCAGCCACTTTGTACCAGAGCTCAGATAGATAATAGATGATTACCTTTGTTATTGACTAACGTGCTGTGTTTAAAAATTTCCACCGAGTCTGGGTGTGTACCACTCACAAACAGAAAACGGATCACGACACGGCTTTATTTTGGTAGGGAGGGGGCGGCAAGCGACAACCCTATTCAAAAGCGTATGACAACGACAAACAGTCAACTGAAAAATATGTTTTGTTTTATTCCATAATACCAATAACTAAAGCTATCTTCCACCAAGTCAGTGGGCATACAATATATTAAAGAATTCACTTTGAGTTTTTTAAACAATTTCTTAAATTTAGGCATAGATTGTATAGTTATATCCAATACTCTCTGATAATTTCATTTTAATAAATTACATTAGTACATTATTTACATCAATATAATTCTAAAGACTGTAGCTTATGATTAAACCAATGAGGATAACTATGAACGAACTGAAACCTAATTTCTAGCAATATTTCCAAGCATGCGTGCAATGATTTGACAGAACACACTTAATTCCAAAATGGCGACCATGTTGCCTTACTTTTATATTTCTGTTAATTAGCCGTTTTTGCCTCGTGATTGCACCTGCAGATTTCAAAAGAAGTTTTAACTTGAAAGTAGGCATTCACATGACGTCACGACACCTATATTGATGTCATAAAGGGCGGTCATGTTGAGTTGAACTCTATTCTTCTGTAAACGCATTTTTGTTCCAATTAATTTGCATAGATGCTGTCCACGTGAGTGAAAACGCTCAATTATCGTTGAGATGCATTAATTTGCCGCCATTTTGGAACATGGCATCATGGCTGGCCAGGTCCCATATAAACAAATTCACGATAGTTCGCCATCGTAATCGCTATTCGTCACCGCTATCTTGATGTTAGCAAGCCGTGCACATAATGTAATAAATGAAATGGTCAGATTAGAAAGCTCAGCTGTGAGATATAGTGTACAAATTTGTGGCTATCTCACAAAAGTACTAAGTGGCCTAGTCTTGCTTACCATAATAGAATAAAAAAAGGTAAGAAGTAAGTGGACTGGAAGCCAAGAAGCTGGTCAAGATGGGACGGCTTCTTTCAGACTGTGTGATGAAAAACTCTTCACTATAATTTACTGCCACCTTGACGAATTTATTAATGTCTCTCTCCCGTGGTGAAAGACCTCCAAAACTTTTACGTGTGGCTTACGCAAAAACTTGGGGTATTTCCATACCACACCCTTAACCCTTTAAAATCTCAACACCAACTTTCTCCCAACAACATCAATAAAGAATGAAGAGAAGAGGTTATGAGGATTGATAAACAGATCACCACAGGGGAAATGTTTCGATCTCATCAAATTCTCTCAACTGATTCTTTAAGGAAATGTATGGAGACCAGTCTGGAGAATTTGCTCATGGAAATTTGGGGCTTGAAAGGGTGAAGGCACTTAACTTTTAATTGAATTGAACGTTCTAATTGAAGTCATTTTCACTGCATACATTATAAGCACACGAGAAGTGAGCAGTGGGGATATAAGAACCACAGCAGCTTTTCCACCCAAATTAAAAATAACTTACAATGTACGAAATAGTATGAGAAGAAAAAAAAGAAATTGTTAGAGAAAGTAACACACTTATACGGTTAATAATGATCAAAAAAGCACTGTGATGCTAGACCCAAACTGATTAAATTCCACTTCAGTTATAAAGAGAGTGTAAATTAATTATTTTTATGGCACTGTTATCCACTAAATGTACTGTAGACCATGAGATTACAAGCTATACATTCCAAAACGAAGAAAAAAAAAACAAGTGGCCTTTTTGAGAATTATTCAATTCAATACTACTTCGTAGACGTTGTTCCTGTGTGATCAACATTCAAGCTGTTTGTCACATTTGAAGTGGTAACCTGTGCCAGAGAATAAACAAAAGCAACTGTTAAAGATTTGCAAACTATTAAGAGGAGCACTTGCGCACACACCATTGCAAAGCAGTAAAAACAATTAAAGGAAAACTTAACTACCAGATTCAAATTTTTAAACATTTTAAATACCCTTGTTTACAGTTTCCCTTTGTATGTCACGAGTATAAAAATTTCCGACACATCATAGGCGGCCAAACGGTCATCGTGACGTCATTTTTGTGTCCTTTACCATCCTCTTTACTTTTGAATGTTTGTAGTTCGTTCAGTTCCGGAGCACTCTGTGTCATATTCTAGCTAAAAATGACTGCGCCGCCCACGAAGCGACGCTTAAGCTCAGCTCTGGTACCAAGCACACAAAAGGCTATTTCCGTGTTTCCAAAACTTTCTCTTTTAAAACGAGGCTGAGTGCAAAACCTTTCTTGTGCAAATGAGTCTTATTTGCATGAGAAAAAAACCATTTTCACATTAACGGCTTCGCATTTTAACTTCGCACTTAGCCTCGCTTTGAAACAGAGGCTTGGGGCAACTCGGAAATGAGATAATGATGTGTGAGTAGCGTCAGGATTAGTTCTCATTTCCCAGCCTCGTGCTGCTAATTAACTGTTGGAACAACTCTTTGAAAATGACACGAAAGTACACAAACTAGAGTACACCTATACTTAAAGGAATTAACAACATACCATAACTAGCAATTTTATCCAGATTAGGAGCCATACACTG